TCTGGAAAGAGTGCAGAGAAGAGCAACAAAGATGATTAGGGGACTGGAGGCTAAAACATATAAGGAACGGTTGCTGGAATTGGGTCTGTCTAGTTTAACGAAGAGAAGGATGAGGGGGGGACATGATAGCAGTCTTTCAATATCTCAGGGGCTGCCCCAAAGAAGAGGGAGTCAAGCTATTTTCCAAAGCGGCTGAAGGCAGGACAAGAAGCAACGGATGGAAACTAACCAAGGAGAGAAGCAACCTAGAACTAAGGAGAAACTTCCTGACGGTGAGAACAATTAACCAGTGGAACAGCCTGCCTCTAGAAGCAGTAAATGCTCCAACACTGGAAGTCTTTAAGAAGAGACTGGACAGCCATTTGTCTGAAATGGTGTAGGGTTTCCTGCCTGAGCACGGGGTTGGACTAGATGACCTCTAAGATCCCTTCCAACATTATTATTATTATTATTATTATTATTATTATTATTATTATTATTATTATTGTTGTTGTTGTTGTTGTTGTTGTTGTTGTTATATTTTAAAGCTTTCATTGGATTTACATTATTTGTTATGACTGAAGCCATTTGTTTCTCATGACTGAAGCCATTTCAAATGCTGGAATAAAGATAGGTTAGAGGGGGGGGGGGGAAGCCAAAAGAAATGGAATTTGTCGTCCAGTGCTCCAGATTTCTGCAGGAAAAGAAATTATCTTGCGATGCAGGCAGCCATTTCACACCAGACCGTATCCCACGGCTGATTTTTCAGAAAGGCAAGACGGGATCAGAAATGTGTGCTTTTTAAATAATATATCACTCTGGTCCTCCAAATCAAAGTCCCCGGACGCCGTACATAAAAACTGACGTAATGAAACAACTGGTTTTACAGAACACAATTGGAAAAAAAAAAAAACCCTGTCAGCCGAAGGGGGAAGAAAGACAAACTGTCTGATAAAAAAAAAAAAACCAGCCATGAAGTGACATTGAGAAATCAATGTCTGGTAATGAGCAACAGGGCCAGGATAAGAACGGAAAGGACTTTATCCAGCATAGGCAGAAAGAGAGAAAGGAAGGGAAGGAGAAAGGGAGAGAGAGAAAGAGAGAAAGGGGGTGGAAGAGAAAGAGAGGGAAGGAGAGAGGAAGGGAGAGAAAGAAAAGGGGTAGAAGAGAAAGAGAGGGAAGGAGAGAGGGAGGGAGAGAAAGAGAGAAGGGGTGGAAGAGAAAGAGAGGGAAGAAGAGAGGGAGGGAAAGAGAGAAAGGGGGTGGAAGAGAAAGAGAGAGAGGGTGGGAGAGGGAGGGAAGGAAAGAAGAGAAAGAGGGAGGGAGGGAGAGAGGCTGGGGAATTCTGGGAACTGGACTCCAGGCATCAAGGTTGAGAATGGCTGGTTGAGACCTCGACTCACTAGACAGTCAGCAGGGCACTTCTGAAGCTTCCTTCCTTCCTTCCTTCCTTCCTTCCTTCCTTCCTTCCTTCCTTCCTTCCTTCCTTCCTTCCTCCTTTCCCCTTCTTCCCTTCATCTCTCCTTCTGTTCCTTCCTCCTTTTCCCTTCCTTCCTCCTTTTCCCTTCCTTCCTTTTTTCTTTCTTTTCTCCTCCCTCCCTCCCTTTTTTCTTCCTTCCTTCCTTCCTCCTTCTCTTTCTTTCTTTCTTTCTTTCTTTTTTCTTTCTTTCCCTTTTCTTTAACCTGTTACTTGCTCCCTTCCTTAGAGCATTTCCACTTGAGGGCCCTTCTGTTAAAAACATTTACATGCTTGAGAAACCAGGAATCAGAAACACCCAAATAAAAACCCAACCTCTGTTGCTCTTTTCCAGGGCCTTCCTGGAATGGAGTCTCCTCAAAGAGGGCACCGCTTGCCAGAAACTCAATGGAATTAAGGAATTAAGGAAAAACAGACACAATGGGTTCCTGGCGTCTGTGAATGCCCCTCCATTCAAAGAAAAATGCCGATTCGGCTCTCCAAATCCAGAAAAATCCAACCGTCACGCCCAAACGCGAGTTTCCAGAAAACCTGGATTCGCACAACCCGCCGATCCCTCCCGGCCTCGCTCTCCCACACCAGGCTCCGAATCGCCAACCTCCCAAACTCATCTCAAAAGGAAGCGCTTCCCCAGCATTTGAAGTGGCCTCCGGCTTCAATCGGGGTTGGGCTGGATGACCTCTTGAGTCTCCCTCCCCAGCCCTCCCAGTCTCCAAGGCCCCTGCTGGCTGTCAGGCCTGGCGCGTTGCTTTTTCTGCAGCAACTTGGCTGCTGATGCTGCTCAATTCAAAAGCAGGCCTTTTTAAAAAAGAAAAAAGAAAGGGAAGGGAAGGCATCTCCCCCCTGCACGCTTCGTTTGGTGCCAGGCCGAGGGTGCATGATAGATGTCACCGTTACCCGGTGACCTCCAGCTTTGCCAAATGACAAAGACTGCAGCCCCAGCTGGAGGAGCTGGCAGCTGATCCCTTTCCCCCCCCCTGCGCCCACCCACCCATCCCCCACTCTTGTCTTGCTTAATGGAGATTCATCTGCCCGCGTTACGGTTTGCTGGCTGCAGCCATAACTCATCGCCCCGACAGAGAGGAAAGAGAGGAACACCCCCTCCTCCCCGTCAGGCCATTAATAAAGACACCCCCACCCCCTCCTCTTCTTGCCAACCGTGCAAGAGGCCGGCTTTGCAAAGAAACTGTCGTGTAGGGAGGCTTGACAGGCGGACGAGCCAGTTCCATTTTTGCCTTGCTTTTTTTTTTTCCCCCTGCAAGTGATGGGCGCAGGTTTTTCAACCTGAAAAGCCAGCAGGAGAAAAAAAAATCTTTTAAACAGGGTAAGTGGGGAGGGGGTGAAACAGGAAGAAGAGGGGATTTCGGGCTGGGTCCGGAGCTGTTCAGAACACCCCCCCACACACACACACAAACACCCTCTCCCAAAGCACTTCTTGCTGGGAGTGGGTTCCCCCAACAAGAGAGCTGGAAGGGTCCTTGGAGGTCTTCTAGTCCAGCCCCTTGCTCAGACAAGAGAACCTATACCAGAGGTAGGCAAGGCCAAAATTTCTGTTGCTAAGCAAGACAGCTGTGAAGGGAGTTTTGCCCCATTTCCTGACAGAACAATTAGTCAAGGAGAGACGCAACCTGGAACTCAGGAGAAATTTCCTGACAGTTAAAACAATCAGTGGAACGACCTGCCTCCAGAAGTTGTGAATGCTCCAACACTGGAAGTTTTTAAGGAGAGACTGGACAGCCATTTGTCCGAAATGGTACAGAGCAGGGCTAGGCAACCTTGGCTCTTTATGACTCGTGGACTTCAACTCCCAGAATTCCTGAGCCAGCATGGGGGAAACTTTGGCCCCTTCATGACTCGTGGACTTCAACTCCCAGAATTCCTGAGCCAGTATGGCTCAGCTTGGAAACCTCTCCCTTTCCCCTCAGCGTGGCTGGCTGAGGAATTCTGGGAGTTGAAGTCCACAAGTCATAAAAGCCCAGTTTGAAGACCCCTGCTCTAAAAGTAAAAACCAGTAGTTCCACCAGATGTAGAGTTCGTCTATAGCAGGGGTGGGGAACCTTGCCTCTTTTATGACTCATGGACTTCAACTCCCAGAATTCCTCAGCCAGCATGGCTCAGCTTGGAAACCTCTCCCTTTCCCCTCAGCATGGCTGGTTCAGGAATTCTGGGAGTTGAAGTCCACGTCATAAAAGGGCCAAGTTTGCCTACCCTTGGCCTAGAGGATTCTAGGGGTAGTTGGATGACTCGTGGTCCCAGAATTCCTGAGCCAGCCACGCTGAGGGGAAATTGAGAGGTTTCCAAGCTGAGCCAGGCTGGCTCAGGAATTCTGGGAGTTGAAGTCCACCAGTCATAAAAGAGCCAACATTGCCTAGCCCTGCTCCAGACCCATCCAGTTTCGGAGCTTCCACACTGCAGATGGGCTCCCAAGGCAGACAGATGGACTGGGAACTTCCGGAGCCAAAGTGTGTGTGGGAGGAAACCCAGCTTGGTTTCTTGGACCAGTTCACCAGGCAAACTGGGACCTCTCCAGGCGCCATTTCTCCCTCTGCCAGGAAGGAGCTTGAGGCAGGGGTCCCCAACCTTTTGGGAACCAGGGACCAGTTCCATAGACAAAGGTTTTTCCGTGGACCGGAGAGTGCGTGGTTTTGTGTGCTGCCTGCATCCCACGGACGGGGCTTTGCTTGTTTGTGTGGACCAGTTGCTGGCATGCCGCGGCCCAGAACTGGTACTTAAGGGAAGTGATGGCAGCTAAGTTCACTGGCACAAGATGCCCTCGGCAGGCCTAGAGGGAAATTGGTTGGCTGCAAGGCTATGCCTTAAGGAACTGCCACAGAATGCCACAATACGAAGTGTGGATCATGTGCCGCGGGGGCTGCGGAAAGCTGAGCGGAAAGAGAGGGTTCGCTCTCCCAACAGCGGCGTCTGCTTAGCGACCGTGAATCATTAAAGCAAACTACCATAGGTATTAATCAAATCCAAAGCCTCACTATGTCTCTCTGTGTGTGTGTAATCCTCGACTTAACAACCACAAATGAGCCCAAATTTTTTCTTGCTCTGCAAGAGGGTTAACTGAGTTTTGTCCCTTTTTGTGACCTTTTTTGGATCGCGTGACCTCCGGGGACACCGCGACCGTCATAAATGCAGGTAGTCCTCCACTTATGAGCCCAAAATGTCTGTGGCTGGGCAAGGTGGTTGTTAAGTGAGTTTTATGACCATTTTATGACCTTTCTGGCCAACCGTTGTTAAGCGAGTCGCTGCAGTCATTAAGTGAATCTGGCTTCCCCCACTGAATTTTGCAAAAGGGGATGCCATGACTCCGGGACGCTGCGACCGTCGTAAATATGAGTCAGTTGCCAAGCGTCTGAGTTTTGATCGCGTGTTCATTACAACGGTCGTTAAGTGTGAAAAACGGCCATAAGTCCCTTTTTTCGGTGCAATTGTAAGGTCAAACGGGTCGCTAAATGAAGCGTTGTTAAGTTGGGGACTTATCTGTATGCCGATCTCGCTTGAAGAACAGAGGGGACTAAATCCATCACAAGCGACATTCTAGGAAAATTGAAATTTAATTTTTTGGGGGATAAACTGCCATGAGGTAAATGCGGACAGGGAAAACAGTTAACATTGTGGGGATTCGGCCTCTCGGTCTGTTAATAACTTGTTTGTAAAAACATGACAGGGTAAATTCTGGCCTCTTCTTGTTTCAGGTCCATTAAAGTCATGTTTGTCATGATTACCTCCTCTTCTCATAGGTCCACAAGCCTCCCCCCCCCCAAATTCAGTCGCTTTTACTGTCGTCGCTGTCGGAGTAAGTCCCCAGAAGGCCGAGAGAAGAGACCCTGGTGTTTGAGCTGGGCAGGGCCCCTGTAGAAGCGCCGTGCTGCTTCCCATCTAGAAGAAGTGGAAATTCAACAGTTGCAGAAAGACACACGGGAAACTTCAGCAACTCTTCTCAACTCGGACTTTCCAAACCCTGGACTATCGAGCCCATATGCCCCGACCCTTGGGAAAGACAGACGCTCAGTCCCTCCCCACTTGGGCACAGGCGAAGGGGTTCCCAGATAATACTAACCCAATACATGTGGTCCTCAACGTAAATCAGGGTGGCTATAAAGCGGATCACCCAGCCAATCGACCCAATTTAGATGTCTATGGAGATGCTCCGTCATCCAGGTCAGGGTTGTCCCAAAGGTACTTTTTCACGAGGCAACTGGACTTTCTTGTTTTTTCCTTGAAGACGTTTCGCTTCTCCTCCCAGATGCTTCTTCAGCTCTGACTGGATGGTGGGGGAAATGGAAGGATTTATACTCCTTGCAGATAGCTGGTCATTTGCCTTCTTTTAGAGAGCCTTTGAGGCCACCTGGAGGCTTATGTGCATCCTCAAGGTCACCTGAGTGGGGCAAATGGGTGTGGAGCCGCCTTGGAACTGCTGAAAGGGCTGTACTGTAGACAGGAGATAGATGATGTTATATCACAGATAAACTTCCAAGTGGCCTCAACGACTCTCTACAAGGATGCAAATGACCGGCTGTCTGCAAGGAGTGTAAATCCTTCCCTTTTCCACCATCCAGTCAGAGCTGAAGAAGCTTCTTGGAGGAGAAGCGAAACGTCTTCAAAGAAAAGTCCTGAAAAAGCATCTTCGGAACGACCCAATTTAGCTAAAAGTCCTGGACTTAAAACCGATCGCTTAATGACCTTTCAAAGTTTATGATTGTTTTTTCTTGCGGCAGTCGTATAAATGAACCCCCGGTTTGCCATGGGGCCGTTTTGCCGCCAAAATCCACAAAATCAATGCTGGTGGTTGGCAGAAACGTCGTAAACTGTGACCATGTGACCGTGGATTACTGACCGCCGGAAACGCAGCCACATGACTGGGGTGGTCAGCCACTGAAACTTTTGGAACTGGGTTGTGGGGGTTTTTTGGGGGGGGGGAAAGGACTATCGTAACTATGAAAGGTTGTTAAGTAACTGGTTTTAAATCGAGGGCTCCCTGTAGCTAAATTCTAATCAAGTTAGCCAGAGTTTTCAGCAAGAAAAGGTGAGGTTCAATTACCACTTGAATTGGGTAGAAGATCAAGGTGAGGCCTCACTGACGCTTTTGATCTTTTGTCTAACCATCTCTTCATTCAAGGGGAAGTTGACACACAAAGGGAATCTCCATGTTTTTGCTCTGCAGAGTTTCACAAGCATCCTTTCTGATTCCTCTGTCTGTCTTCCATCCATCCATCCATCCATCTCTATCTATCCATCCATCCATCTATACATCTATCCATCCATCTCTCTATATATCCATCTATTCATCTTTATCTTCTGTCTATCATGTATCTATCATCTATCCATCCATATTTTATCTACTCTATCATCTATTCATCTATTATCTATTTACTATATATATGTATCTATCTATCCATACATCTATATATCCATCTATCTATCCATCTCTTTATCTATTCTATCAATTATCTCTCATCTATTTATCTATTATCTATTAATTATCAATCTATCATCTATCTCATCTATCTTTTATCTACTGTCTATCATCTAACTACAATCTATTTACTATCAATCATCTATATCTATCTATCTATCTATCTATCTATCTATCTATCTATTTTATCTACTGTCTTTATCATCTGTCTATTTAATCTACCTACCTATTTATCTATCATCTATTTACTCTCTATCTATCTATCCATTCATCCATCTATATATCCATCTATCCATTCATCTCTCTATCTAAATATCCATCTATCTATTCATCTTTATCCTGTCTATCATCTATCTATCTATATCTATCCATTCATATTTTATCTACTGTCTATCATCTATTCATCTATTATCTAATTAACAATGTATATGCAACTATCTATCCATACATCTATATATCCATCTATTTATCCATCTCTTTATCTACTCTATCAATCATATCTCTCTCTCATCTATTTATCTATTATCAATCTATCATCTATCTCATCTATCCATCTATTCATCTTTTATCTACTATCATCTAACTACTATCTATCTATCTATCTATCTATCTATCTATCTATCTATCTATCTATCTATCTATCTATCTATCTATCCATCCATCCATCCATCTATCTATCTATCTCAATATCTACCTATCTACCTACCTACCTACCTACCTACCATGCTAGGTGGGGAATTCTGGGAATTGAAGTCCATCCGTCTTAAAGTTGCCAAGGGTGAGAAACAATGGTCTACAACCTGATCCTTGTGCTTTGAAGCATCCCACTTCATCTTTCATTTCAGAAATGAAATGAAAAAATGGAAAATGGACTTTGGACTCCAGCCTAATTCCTGGTGGTTACAAGGCACATCCATATTGTCCTGTTGGCAATAATCAAGCCCAAAATTCAGGAATATCCCGGTACTTTTTCCTATGATCTCAATTAACTTACAAATTTAGACTGCACAGCTATGTGCTGCCCTCTGTTGACACTACAGCAGTTCACACCATATAGCAGTGTTTCCCAAACTTGACAATTTTAAGGCATGTGGACTTCAACTCCCAGAATTCCACAGCCAGCATTGCTGGCTGTGGAATTCTGGGAGTTGAAGTCCACATGCCTTAAAATTGTCAAGTTTGGGAAACACTGCCATATAGGATAGTGATGGCAAACCTTTTAGAGACCGAGTGCGCAAACTGCAACCCAAAACCCACTTATGCATCATTCGGTGCCGGGTGGGTGTGGCCCATTGGGTGGGTGTGGCTGCGGTGGTAACAGCAGACTGGGTGGGACTAAAAAGTTCAATCAATCAATTTGCAAGATCTTTTTTTTCCCCCGCGAGAAGTTGAAATTGACTGATTGATTGAACCTTCTTTTTTTTTTTTTTTTTTTTTGCACACGGCGGCGGAGGCCTAAAGCGAAAAGGTTTTATAAAACCCAGCTGATGGCGTAGGGCTCTGAGTGCTGCCTCTGGCACCCATGCCATAGGTTCACCACCACTGGAATAAGAAGCCCTTGACTTACAATTATTCAATTACGACAAGTGGCTTACAACCAGTCCTTATGCTTATGAACGTTGCTGCAAGGTTTGATAGTGAGTCTGGCCATTTTTCACACTTACGACCATCGTAGCATCCCCATGGTCAGGGGGCTTGACAACTAACTCACATTTATGATGGTCTGCAGAGTCCCAAGGTCACCTGATCCTCCCTTTTACAACCTTCTGACAGAGTCAACGGGGGAAGCCAGATTCACTTAACAACGGACGACTTAAAACCCACTGCAGGGATTCCCTTAACAATTGCGGCAGAAAAAAAGGCATAAAGTGTGGCAAAATCCACTTAACAAACGTTTCACTTAGCAGCAGAACCTTTGGGGCTCAATTGTAGAGACCGAGGACTACCTGTATTCAATTCAACTCAATGCAATGCAACTCAACTCATCCCAAAGGTGCTTTGAAAGAAGGGGGTCAAAGAGGCCATCAAACTGAACAGCCCCACCCTCAACAGAGGGGGAGGGACACGGCATCGTCTATCTCCGGTCTACAACACAGTCCTTTCAGCAGCTCCAAGAAGGCTCCACACCCATTTGCACTACTCAGGTGACTCTGAGGACACAGATAAGCCCCCAAGTGGCCTCAACGACTCTCCAAAAGAACGCAAATGACCAGCGGTCTGCAAGGAGTATAAATCCTTCCATTCCCCCACCATCCAGTCAGAGCTGAAGAAGCTCCTTGGAGGAGAAGCGAAACGTCTTCTAAGGAAAACAAGAAAGTTCTGCCTCCTGGAAAAACATCTTTGGGACAACCCTGACCTGGATGACTGAGCATCTCCATTGACATTTAGCAATATTGGATGGAACACCATTCCGATGGTACGGGAGGATGAATGGATTCCCAGAAAACACTGCAGGCTCCGGGAACCATTTCTTCTTCAGTTGGAGAGGCAGACAACACGGATTCATCTCCAACAGCCTGTGCCCGTCTTCAACAAGGAAGGGACCCAGGGCAGAAGACATCCTGCAGCCAAGAAGGCTCCCCACCAGGGGTCTTCAAACTTGGCCCTTTTATGACTTGTGGACTCCAACTCCCAGAATTCCTCAGCCAGCAACGGGAATTGAAGTCCATAAGTCATAAAAGGGCCAAGTTTGAAGACCCCTGCTTCACATCCATTTGCACCACTCAGCTGACCCTGAGGACACAGGTAAACCTCCAGGTGGCCTCAACGCACTCTCTAAAAGGAGGCCAATGACCAGCTGTCTGCAAGGAGTGCAAATCCTTCCCTTCCCCATCATCCAGTCAGAGCTGAGGAAGCTTCTTGGAGGAGAAGTGAAATGTCTTCAAGAAAAGAACAAGAAAGTCCTGAAAAAAAACCACCTTTGGGGTAACTATGACCTGGATGACTGAGAATCTCCATAGACCAGGGGTCCCCAATCCCCGGGCTGTGGACCAGTCCGGGCCACGGCATGCCAGCAACCGGTCCGCACAAACAAGCAAAGCCCCATCTGCAGGGTGCAGGCAGGACACAAAACCACGCACCCTCCGGTCCGTGGAAAAACCTCTCTCCACGGAACCGGTCCCTGGTGCCCAAAAGGTTGGGGACCTCTGCCCTAGACATTAAATTCAACTCAACTCAACTTCACCACCCTTTTTTAAGTGTTCGCTTCCATCCTTTCTCCCGGTGGTCCCTTGTCTCTCTTTCTCCACTGCCACTGCCTTGGTCCTCCTGACCTGCTTCTGAGGCTGCCTCTTGGCTTCCCGATCCATTGGCCACCCCGGAAACGGGCTTCTTCTTGGGGGTCACCAAGCCCGAGAGTTGTGTCTTCACCGAGAGTTTTCCCACGCTCCTTTCCCAGCTTTCCAGCTTTGGCTTCTTAGCTTGCGGCTCGGAGTCCTGCAAAGGAAATGAAAGGAACAGGCAGGGTGATGCTAAAAGCAGCTGTGCTCAAAGGACACCCTCCCACCGCCTACTGTGGTTGCGACCCCAAACAAGATAGGGTTGTAATTCTGGGTTTGTGCGTAGAAGGTCTCCATGTCCACCTAAAGCAGGGGTCTTCAAACTTGGCCCTTTTATGACTTGTTGACCAACTCCCAGAATTCCTCAGCCAGCTGGGGGAACTATGGCCCCTTCATGACTTGTGGACTTCAACTCCCAGAATTCTTCAGCCAGCATGCCTGGCTGAGGAATTCTGGGAGTTGAAGTCCACAAGTCATAAAAGTGCAGGTTTGAAGACCCCTGACCTAAAGCACCTGAATTTCAGGGGATCGGATTAGATCAGGGCCAAAATTTTGCACTCAAGAGCAAATTTTGGTAAGTAAGGCACACACACACAAAACCAAAAAAAAAAAGGCCCTGTTGAGATCTGAATCTAAGGTTTGTTCTGCACACAGGTATTCCTATATCAGCTTATCAACTCTTCGTTAGCAACTCTTCAAAGTTACAAAGGTGCTAAAATAGTGGATTATGACTGGTCCTTATATACTACTACTACTACTACTACTACTACTACTACTACTACTACTAATAATAATAATAATAATGAGAAGGAGGAGGGGGAGGGAGGAGGAGGAGGAGGAGAAGGAGAAGTAGTAGTAGTAGTAGTAGAAGTAGTAGTAGTGTAGTAGTAGTAGTAGAAGAAGAAGAAGTTGAAGGGTATCTAGTCCAACCCACTATTCAGGCAGGAAACCTATACCGTTTCAGACAAATGGCTGTCCATTTTTCTTAAAACTTCCAGTGTGGAGCATTCACCACTTCTGGAGGCAGGTTATTTCCACTGGTTAATGTTCTCACTGTCAGAAAATTTTTTTAATTCTAGACTGCTTTCTCCTTGATGGAGGTTTCCAATCTGTTGCTTCTTTCTCCTGCCTTTGGGTGCTTTGGAGAACAGCTTGACTTTCTCTTCTTGGGGCAAGCCCCTGAGATATTGGAGGTTGCTATCATGTCACCCCTCGTCCTTCTCTTCATTAAACTAAACATTCCAAGCAAACTCGACACAGTGTAGTCCTCGGTTTACAACCACAGTTAGCATTTCTGTTGCTAAGTGAGACAAGTGCGTTTGCCCTTTTAACGACCGTTTCTTTGCACAGTTCAGTGCATCGTTGCAGTTTTAAGTTGTAATGTGGTTGTTAGGCTAATCTGGTTTCTGTGTCAAAAAGCTGCAAAGGGATCACATGACCCCAGGACACTGCAACGGTCAGGAGTCAAGTTGCCAAGCATCCGAATTTTGATCACGTTGACCACAGGGATGCTGCCAAAAGATAAAAGGGGACCAAAAACTCAGCCATGAATTCGAGTTTCCTCCCCCATTTTACGACTTTTTGCCACGTTCAGAGAAATCACGGCAGCGTTAAGGAGTAACAAGGCGTTAAGCCAAATCGACTCCCCCCCCCTTGATTTTGCTGGTTCAGCAGGTCGCAAAAGGGGGAAATCACGTGATCTCCGGGACGCTGCCACCGTCATAAGTGTGAACCGGTTGCCAAGGGTCTCCATTTTGATCACGGACCGAGGGAATGCGGCGGTGGTGATGAACTGTGAAAAACAGCCACAAGCCACTTCTTCAACGGCATTGTTCTTCGAATGTCCACAAATGAACTGTTGTAAGTCGAGGACTACTACAGAAGGTACTTTGGAGATCCCCCAGCCCAGCCCCACTGCTCAAGGGCAGGAAGAGACCCCCATGAAGAGGGATATCCATCTCCATGACGTCAGCCAACCTATCAGGAGATGCTGAGGGACTCTTCCATACCAGTTGCAGGATGTCGGTGGGCTTTCCCTTTGCAAGTGGTTTTGGCCGAGCTGGAGGGAGGTCCTCTTCCGAATCGGAGTTCTCCAGCATTTTCCGGCTTTGGCTTGCTCCAGCATGGATCTGGGTGAGAAAGAAGCCAGGAGAGAGAGGTGGGTCGGCAATGGTAAAGGAAGAGAGAGCATGGCGAAGTGAGTTCAAAGACAGGTAAAGTCATCCGTGCTATTTCTATTCTTCTGCAGATTTAAGTCAAATTCTACAAATCTTCCCTAGCGGGTTTTTTTTTTCCAACCTGGGCAACTTCAATATGTAGCTTTCAACTCCCAGAATTCCCCAGCCAGCATTGCTTTAAGATGGGTGGACTTCGACTCCCAGAATTCCTCAGCCAGCTATGCTTTAAGATGGGTGGAATTTCCCTCAGCACTTAAGATGGTGGACTTCACTCCAGAATTCCCTAGCCAGCATGCTTTAAGATTGCTTTAAGATTGGTGGACTTCAACTCCCAGAATTCCCTAGCCAGCATTCTTTTAGGACTGGGTGGACATCCAACTCCCAGAATTCCCAGTCCAGCATGCTTAAGATGATGGACTTCGACTCCCGAATTCCCCATCCAGCCTTTAACATGGGAGTATTTCGACTCCCCAAAATCTCAATCAACATGCTTTAAAGTAGGTGGACCTCCAACTCCCAGAATTCCCCCAGCCAGATGCTTAAGATGGGTGGATTTCAACTTCCAGAATTCTGAAGCTAGCTTGCTTTAAGCTGAGTGGACTTCAACTCCCAGAATCCTTAATCGTATGCTTTAAGGTGGTGGACTTCCAGGATTTCAATGGAACAAAATGCAATGTATTTCAGTGGCAACCCAACTATGGTATACAGAATACAGACATAGGTATAGGCATGGGGGGGGGGAAGGAGAAGGACAGGGAGAGATGTGGGGTCTCTGTTGTTTTGATTCTTTTATTATAGGCGTTTTGTGACCAACTAGGGAACATCATCAGTGCTGGAAGGGAGTGGGGCTTGTAATCTGCATATAAACAAAAGAGACACCAATAAGCAAAAGGCTAAAAAAAAAAAAAAAAAAAAAAAAGACCAAAACACCTCCTCACCAGCAATCAACACCAGAGAAGAAAATTAACACCAAGATTAACACTAGACCAGGGTTAGGCAACCTCAGCTCTTTTATGCCTCGTGGACTTCAACTCCCAGAACTCCTGAGCTAGCCATGCTGAGGGGAAAGGGAGAGGTTTCCAAGCTGAGCCATGCTGGCTCAGGAATTCTGGGAGTTGAAGTCCGCAAGTTATGAAGGGGCCATAGTTCCCCCATGCTGGCTCAGGAATTCTGGGAGTTGAAGTCCACGAGTCGTAAAAGAGCCAAGGTTGCCTACCTTTGCGCTAGACCAACAATCCAGGAGGAAACAACACCCCATCAAGGAAGCACCAACTCCGGAAAGGCCTCTGCAGCTGAGAAGGGAGCCCCGGATTCCCCCCGGCCTGCATTTCGCCCTCAGAGGCCTTCTGGAAAGGCTTCTGAGGGCAAAATGCAGCCCGAAGCTCCATTCTCAGCTGCAGAGGCATTTCCTTCGGCCACAGAAGAAGTGGGCCGGCTGGGTGGGGCTGTCGGTGCCACCGTTGTGAAGTGAGGCCATGGAAATAAGACCTGGTGCCTCTTCTGGAGGCCAAAAAAAAAAAAGTAAAAATAAATATGACTGGATCTTATTTTCGGGGAAAACACGGTAGTGGGAGATACTCCTAGCCGAGGGGTAGGCAACCTTGGCTCTTTTCTGACTCGTGGACTTCAACTCCCAGAATTCCTGAGCCAGCCACGCTGAGGGGAAAGGGAGAGGTTTCCAAGCTGAGCCATGCTGGCTCAGGAATTCTGGGAGTTGAAGTCCACGATTTATAAAAGGGCCAAGGTTGCCTACACTTGTCCTAACCTCATCCTTCAGGACAGGGAACTATGGCAACTTTATGACTCGTGGACTTCAATTCCCAGAATTCCTGAGCCAGCCACGCTGAGGGAAAAGGGAGAGATTTCCAAGCTGAGCCATGCCGGCTCAGGAATTCTGGGAGTTGAAGTCCACAAGCCATAAAAGAGCCAAGGTTGCCTACCCCGGGCTAGGGACAAGATTCTTGGGGCTCACTTCATTTCCTGCTCGTCTTCCTCCAATTCCCGCTGCTTCTGCTGCTCCTCAAAATCTTTGTACTGCCGCAACATGGATTCAAAATCCACGTTGGCCTGGCGCTGGTTGAGCTCTTTCAGCTCCTGCAAGTTTTCCAAAACTTCCATCTCTAGTTTGGAATCCTTGGTTCTGTTCTCCAAAACCTGGAAAAACAAAAAGCAGAAAAGTGTTAAGACTTGGAGGGCAGTTAATTAGAACTAATAGTGAGAGATGAAGAAGCTTTTGGGGTGAGAAGCTAAACGTTTTCAAAGAAAAAAGCCAAGAAAAATGAAGTTGCCTTTTGGGAAAGCAGCTTTGAGACGAGAATGAGAGATTTAAAAAGCAAAATGGGACATCTACTTATTTTTATTCTCGTTGAGCCCTTCTGGCTCTTCCAGAAGGGAGAATGAAAATCAGTAGTGGCCAATCACCAGGAGACGGTGAGTTCTAGTCCCATCTTAGCCATGAAAACCAGCTGGGTGACTTTGGGCCAATTACCAGGAGACAGTGAGTTCTAGTCCCGCCTTAGCCATGAAAACCAGCTGGGTGACTTTGGACCAATCTCCAGGAGACGGTGAGTTCTAGTCTCACCTTAGGCATGAAAGCCAGCTGGGTGACCTTGGGCCAATCACCAGGAGACGGTGAGTTCTAGTCCTGCTTTAGGAACAAAAGCCAGGTGGGTGACCTTGGGCCAATCAGCAGGAGACGGGGAGTTCTAGTCCCGCCTTAGACATGAAAGCCAGCTGAGTGACTTTGGGCCAATCATCAGGAGACGGTGAGTTCTAGTCCTGCTTTAGGCACAAAAGCCAGGTGGGTGACCTTGGGCCAATCACCAGGAGACGGTGAGTTCTAGTCCTGCCCTAGGCATGAAAGCCGGCTGGGTAACGTTCGGCCAATCACTAGGAGATGGTGAGTTCTAGTCCCGCCTTAGCCATGAAAACCAACTGGGTGACTTTGGGCCAATACCAGGAGACGGTGAGTTCTAATCCCACCTTAGCCATGAAAACCAACTGGATGACTTTGGGCTAATCACCAGGAAATGGTGAGTTCTAGTCCCATCTTAGGCAAGAAAGCCAGCTGGGTGACTTTCAACCAGTCACTCCCTTTCAGCTCAACCCACCTCACAGGGTTGTTGTCGTGAGGAAAATAGGAGGAGGGAGGCATGTTGTCTACATTCACCATCTTGTGTTACTTGTAATAACTATAAAGGCGGGAACTAAATAAACAGACAAACAATAAAGCAGGCTAAGTTGCCGGATGCCCAAAACTTGGTCATGTGACTGTAGTGTGCGTGTGTCTTTCTCTGTCTGACACTGAATGGTCACTAAGCAACCAGTTATAAGTCGAGGACTACCTACACAGGAATATGCAAAAACTACCAAGCAAAAAAATCCAGTTCCTGCTCTCCCAATGGTCTATTTAGAAAAAGGAAGAATGAAATTTCTTTCCCAGCTAAGGATTGGCCAACCACCTTCATGGGGTTATTCAGCTCTTCGTCTTCTCTCTCTTTCTGCAAACGCTTCTCCTCTTCCTCCAGCAATTTCTCGGCCTGGAAATTGCGCGTGGCGCCGTGCTCCATGGCGTAATCTGTGTTTTCAGGGTCTGTCTGAAGAGAACAGGACAAAGAGGGAACAGCGTTAATTCTCTGGTCTGAAAACCGGAAGGGCTGAACTGCAGACGCCGAGTCAAAATTTGCAATGGACAGCAATAAACATTCTGTATAAATGTTCCCACTTGTTGTGTACGCAGAATAGAGGATGGCTGACCCTGAGTTTGGGGGTTAACAGAACAGAATTGTCTTTATTGTCACTGTGTACCTCGCCACGAAATTAAATGCCGTCCACAATCTACACGACACACAAGTAAAAACATACATTATATTACACACATCCTTTACATTCTATTCACCATTAACATTACACTACAATAATAATAATAATAATAATAATAATAATAATAATAATAATAATAATAGTGATGATGATAATTGACAGACTTTATCTACCAAGGCAAATAGGTGGGCGTGGAATGCTACAAGTGCATCAGATGGTTGAAGAAGAAAAAATGGCTTTGGAAGAATATCTAAAGAACAATGATGAAGATGCACTGAAATTAGTATATCAGGAAGGCTTACTGACTACTGGAGAGACCAGACTGGCCTACAAGAAAGACCAAATGAAGAACAGAATAGAGGCATGGGAAGACAAAGCACTATATGGCCAATACATTAAAAAAATAGCTGAGAAAGCAGGCAATAACAACACCTGGCAATGGCTAAGAGCAGGAAAATTGAAGAAAAAGACCGAGGGACTAATTCTGGCTGCACAAGACCAAGCCTTAAGGACAAATGCATATAAAGTCAAAATTGAGAAGACAGCAATAGACAGTAAGTGCCGCCTATGCAAAGAAGCTGAAGAAACAGTGGACCATCTGGTAAGCTGTTGCAAGAAGATTGCACAGACTGACTACAAGCAGCGGCATGACAAAGTAGCAACAATGGTGCATTGGAAGATCTGCAAAAAATATCATTTGCCTGTAAGCAAAAACTGGTGGGATCATAAAATAGAGAAAGTCATAGAAAATGATAAAATTAAACTGCTCTGGGACTTCAGAATTCAAACAGACAAGCACCTGCAACATAACACCCCAGACTTAACAATTGTCGATAAGAAAGACAAAAAAGTCTGGATAGTGGACGTGGCAGTGCCTGGAGACAGCAGAATAGAAGAGAAAGAACTGGAGAAGATAACAAAATACAAAGACCTACAAATAGAAAGAGAAAACTGTGGCAAAACAAGCAAGGGTAGTACCAATAGTCATAGCAATCCCAAAACAACTGGAGCACCACTTGAACACCATTGGCATTGACAAATTCGCTATTAGCAATTGCAAAAGGCGGCCTTACTAGGAACTGCTTCCATCCTGCGATAGGCTCCTTAGGTGCAATCCCAAAACAACTGGAGCACCACTTATTGGCATTGACAAATTCGCTATTAGTCAATTCAGGAACTGCTTCCATCCTGCGACATCTGTATACCATCAAACATCCACATGCCCCAGGTCCTGGGTAAGGACTCGATAGGTAGACAAAATGCCAAATCCAGTCTGAATATCTGGCTGACTGTGCGATGATCCATAATAATAATAATAATGAAGGAATCCAGCAGAGCTATACAACTGTTCTCATTTGGAAACCAGGCACCTCTTCCTCAGAAAGAACAAAACCCTCTAACTAAAGAAATAAAAGAATTGAAACAAAGAATAACTGAGCATCTAGAACAGCACAAAAACAACAGAATAAGGCTGCCTGCATTGAAGCTTGTTCCAAAGAAACAGCTAGCACAAGCATTAAAAGATGCAAATACTGCAATAGCAAGTATAAGCACCAATTCACTGCAAGAAACAAACCAACTAATGTACAGCACAGCTGCAGTTATAACAGAATACCTGGGATGCAAAATCAACAAAAAAGAAAAACAAACAAACAGTGCACCACAAAAATGGAAGGTTAGACTAGAAAATAAGATCAGCAAGTTAAGATCACATGCAAGCAAGCTAGAACAGATGAAAGAAAAGAAGCTGAAGAACAAGAAGACCAAAGAATACCTAATCAAGAAATACCACTTAGAAACAAGGAAGATCAAGGAAGCACTGGAAATAATAAAGCAACAAATAACAGCTATAGCCAGGAAAATCAGTAGATATGAAGCTCGAATTGCAAACTATAGGCAGAACCTCCAATTTCAATCCAATCAGAAACGTTTCTACCAATCCATCAATGGAGAAACTGCAAGGAATCAGTCAGTACCTGACAAGGAAGAAACAGTGCAGTTCTGGAAGCAGATATGGGATAACCCAAAGAAATACAACAAGGATGCGGCTTGGTTAAAAGAGGTGGATGCAAATAAAACAGAAGTTGAAATGAAAGAACTAGTAATAACAACAAAAATGGTAGAAAAAAGAGCAAAGAAAATCAAAAATTGGTCAGCACCAGGTGAAGATGAACTGCATGGGTTTTGGTTGAAACATCTAACTGTTATACACCCACTCATTGCCAAGCAGTTCAACAATATACTACAAGGAGGAGAAATTGAAAAGTGGCTAACAACTGGGAAAACCTACCTAATAATGAAAAATCCAGCAAAAGGGGCAACACCAGGTAACTACAGGCCAATTACCTGCTTACCAACAACTTTCAAATTACTAACTGGTGTGGTAGCTGATGCAGTACAACAGCATCTAGTTGAAAACAATCTCTTTCCACCTGAGCAGAAAGGAAACCGCCCCAATAGCAGAGGAACAAAAGATCAACTCCTAATAGACAAAATGATCTTGGAAAACTGCAAAAAAAAAAAAAAGGAAGATCAACCTGAATGTGGCATGGGTTGACTACAAAAAGGCATTTGACTCTCTGCCACATGACTGGATAATCAGTGCCTAGAAATAACGAGTCAGTAGAAACATCAGAAAATTTGTGCAAAGATCGATGGCATAGTAGAAGACACAGTTGCAGATCAATGGTGAGAGACTGGGAGAGGTTAATATCAAAAGAGGAATATTTCAAGGAGATTCATTGTCACCATTACTATTTGTTATTGCACTGTTTCCTCTGTCAACAATACTGAATAACTCAGGACATGGCTATCAAACATCAAAAACATCTGCCAGACTATCCCATCTCCTTTATATGGATGATCTGAAGCTGTATGGAAAAACATCATCTGAAATAGAATCGCTGCTCAACACTGTCCGTATATATAGCCAAGATATTGTAATGGAGTTTGGCTTGGACAAATGTGCCACACTTACTATCAAACAAGGAAAAATAATGAAAACTGAAGGAATCAAGATGCCCCACGAAAATAACATTAAGAGTCTGGATGAGGAAGAGTACTACAAATACTTGGGTATCCTTCAAGCTGACAACATCAAGCACACTGAAGTCAAGAAAAAGATTAGAGGTGAATACATCAAGAGAGTGAAGAAGATCTTAAAATCCAAACTCAATGGAGGAAATACCATAAAGGCAATCAACACCTGGGCAATCCCAGTTATTAGGTACACAGCTGGAATAGTGGACTGGACTCAAGCAGAACTAAAAGCAATGGATAGGCAGACCAGAAAAATAATGACAATGAATCATGCCCTTCATCCACGCAGTGACATTGATAGACTTTATCTACCAAGGCAAATAGGTGGGCGTGGAATGCTACAAGTACATCAGATGGTTGAAGAAGAAAAAATGGCTTTGGAAGAATATCTGAAGAACAATGATGAAGATGCACTGAAATTAGTATATCAGGAAGGCTTACTAACTACTGGAGAGACCAAACTGGCCTACAAGAAAGACCAAATGAAGAACAGAATAGAGGCATGGGAAGACAAAGCACTACATGGCCAATACATGAAAAAAATACTGGGAAAGCAGATAATAATAAGACCTGGCAATGGCTAAGAGCAGGAAAATTGAAGAAAGAGACCGAGGGACTAATTCTGGCTGCACAAGACCAAGCCTTAAGGACAAATGCCATACAAAGTCAAATTGAGAAGACAGAACAGATAGTAAGTGCCGCCTATGCAAAGAAGCTGAAGAAACAGTGGACCACTTGGTAAGCTGTTGCAAAAGATTGCACAAACTGATTACAAGCAGCGGCATGACAAAGTAGCAACAATGGTGCATTGGAAGATCTGCAAAAAATATCACTTGCCTGTAAGCAAAAACTGGTGGGATCATAAAATAGAGAAAGTCATAGAAAATGATAAAATTAAACTGCTCTGGGACTTCAGAATTCAAACAGACAAGCACCTGCAACATAACACCCCAGACTTAACAATTGTCGATAAGAAAGACAAAAAAGTCTGGATAGTGGACGTGGCAGTGCCTGGAGATAGCAGAATAGAAGAGAAAGAACTGGAGAAGATAACAAAATACAAAGACCTACAAATAGAAATAGAAAGACTGTGGCAAAAGCAAGCAAGGGTAGTACCAATAGTAAGAGGCTCCTTGGGTGCAATCCCAAAACAACTGGAGCACCACTTGAACACCATTGGCATTGACAAATTCGCATTAGTCAATTGCAAAAGGCGGCCTTACTAGGAACTGCTTCCATCCTGCGACGATACCTGTAATACCATCAAACATCCACATCTGCCTATCCCAGGTCCTGGGTAAGGACTCGATAGGTAGACAAAATGCCAAATCCAGTCTGAACATCTGGCTGACTGTGCGATGATCCATAATAATAATAATAATAATAATAATAATAATAATAATAATAATAATAATAATAAACTGGAAGGGACCTTGGAGGTCATCTAGTCCTACCCCCTGCTCAGGCAGGAAACCCTATCTCATTTCGAAAAAATGGCTGTCCAGTCTCTTCTTAAAAACTTCCAGTGTTGGAGCATTCACCGCTTCTGGAGGTAGGTTGTTCCACTGGTTAATTGTTCTCACTGTCAGGAAGTTTCTCCTTAGTTCCAGGTTGCTTCTCTCCTACTCTTTCTAGAATCTCAACATCTTTTTTACACTGTGGTGACCAAAACTGGATGCAGTATTCCAAGTGTGGCCTTACCAAGGCTTGTAAAGTGGTATTAATACTTCATGCGATCTTGATATTGTACTATACAGCAGTATTTAATATGGTTACAGCTCTGGGATAAAAACCATTGTTCAGCCTCTTGGTCTTTGTTTTTATTATCCCGTACCATCTGCCAGATGGTAATAGTTCAAAAACAGAATGTCTGGGATGAGTCTTTCAGAATATTTTGAGCTTTCCTAAGAAAATGGGAACTGTACAGTTCGTCCGAAGGAGGGAGGAGGGAGAGAGGAGAGTGCAGCCAATAATAATCCTCTGGGCGATGGTAATGACCCTCTGGAGTGCTTTTCTACCTGCTACTGTGCAGTTGGCAAACCAGACACAAATGCAATAGGCTAGAATGCTCTCTATGGAGCAACGGTAGAAGATCACCAGCAGTTTTTCGTTCAGTTGTTATTTCCTGAGACGTTTCAAGAAATATAATCTCTGCTGGGCCTTCTTAACCAGTGCTGTAAGGTGAGCATTCCAGGTCAGGTCCTCCTTTATGGTAACACCCAGAAACCTAAAGCTTGTAACCTGCTCCACACGGTCTCCACGGATGATCAGGGGCTGAATGTTTGATCTATTCCTCCCGTAATCTGCTACAAGCTCCTCGGTCTTAGTGGTGCTATTGTCTGTGCACCCCAAAACCAACTGCTCCACCTCATCCCGGTAGGCAGACTCGTCCCCCTTGGAGATAAGCCCCACCACCCAGAGTTATTAGCGAGGAGAGCCTTTTCTGGAGCGACACTCTTGATTTGGGACACAGGTTCTACAAGCAGAAGGAAAGAACGACAGGGGCTTGGGGGCCCCCACCAGGGTTCTCTCCAACCTGCATTTAATAAGTCATCCTCAAGCTACCACTGTAGTGGAACCTGCCCATCACGGTCATAACGCATGAAAATCGTTAACGGGACTCAGTCACAATAATCTTACGATTATTATTATTTTTTTTTTGCAGCATTCGTTAAACCAGTGGTTCTCAACCTGTGGGTCGGGACCCCATTTGGGGTTGAACGACCATTTCACGGGGGTCGCCAAACAACACAGTCCGCCATTTTTTCCCCCTTTTCCTTAGCTGTGCTACTCCCTTTTATTCTATTGGCTTTTGAAAGCCAATAGAATAGAATCTCTTGAATAGAGTCTAATTCTATTGGCTTTCAAAAGCCAATAGGAATTGTCCAGGCTGTCTCTGCCCTGCTGAGCCTGCCAAAAGTCCCATTCTGCAAACGGTGCTGCATCAGTTGAGTAGTCCTCGACTTACGACCAGTTGAGTAGTCCTCGACTTACGACCGGTTGGGGGTTGCGGCATTAAAAAGGTTGAGAACCACTGTGTTAAACCAATCAATGCAATTTTTAAACGAGTGCCACAGTTGTTCAGCGAAACAATGGTCTGTGAAGGGTGCAGCTTTGCCCAAAAGTAGAAAGTTGAAGCCCACGACTCATAAAAGAGCCAAGGTTGTCTACCCCTGGTGTAGGGTCTTCTGCTCAAGCAGGGGGTTGGACTAGAAGACCTCCAAGGTCCCTTCCAACTCTATTATTCCATGTTCTCTGTTGGAAGAAAAGAGAGGCCTAGAGGCTTTACCTTGAACGTGATTTCTGCCAGGCAGCGGGTACATTTGATGTAAAACCGGAAGATGGGAAGTCCCAAATAAGATTCATTCTGGACCGTCTCTTTCCGGGCGTTAAATTTTTTGCCCTTGTAAATGTATTCGCCGCACGTTTTGCATCTACAAGATAGAAAAGGTCTCCAGAAATGCAATTTCTCATTCTTCATCTGCTTACTGACTTTTATTTTAACCCTCACCAGGAAGGTTTATGCTACAACTCGCCTTGCTCCGTCTACTTGCTATTGCTGGTAGAGGCAAGTCGGGAGCTGCCAGCAGAAATTGGGTATAAATAGTCCTCAACTTACGACCACAGTTGAGATGAAAATTTCTGTTGTTAAGCAAGACAGCTGTGAAGGGAGTTTTGCCCCATTTTGTGGCCTCCCTTGCCACAGCTGATAAGTGAACCACTTATTTCCTGACAGAACAATTAATCAAGGAGAGAAGCAACCTGGAACTCAGGAGAAATATCTGACAGTTAAAACAACTGCCTCCAGAAGTTGTGAATGCTCCAACACTGGAAGTTTTTAAGAAGAGATTGGACAGCCATTTGTCTGAAATGGTATAGAGCAGGGGTAGGCAACCTTGGCTCTTTATGACTCGTGGACTTCAACTCCCAGAATTCCTAAGTCAGCATGGGGAACTATGGCCCCTTGATGATGTGGGGACTTCAACTCCCAGAATTCCTGAGCCAGCATGGCTGAGTTTGGAAACCTCTCCCTTTCCCCCTCAGCATGGCTGGCTCAGGAATTCTGGGAGTTGAAGTCCACAAGTCGTAAAAGAGCCAAGGTTGCCTACCCCTGGTATAGGTGTCAACGCTGTAAACACTGGATGTTTCCCGCTCTGACAACTGATGAAAATTGCAGCCATTTCCGCTTTGCTTTTAACATGCTTTTTTCTTCTATTTAGAAATTAGGTGCAGAAGGGGGGTTGGGATGAATACTTGAGCTAACCATAATAAACACTGCTTTGTGGGAACCCAAGGCGGAATTGATAATGTTTTGGCGGGCTAAGGAGCTGGGAAGAAAGCCCAGGTGTTAAATTATTTGAAACCCACCACTGGTCACTTCCAAAGGCCATGTGCTCACTCGCTTGCTGCCCACCGTCGCTCCTAAAGGCCGCTCACTCACTCTTCTGCCAAAACCTGCTTTTATAAGTTCCCTTCTCCCTGCCCAGCTCTTGCAGCTCTTCCCGGACTCTGCGTGCGTGGAGAGGAGGAGGGGAGCAGCCCAGGCCCACATCCCTCTGTCTGGGGCGACGGCGTGCATGCCCACAGAGAGGGATCTGAGTGCCCTCTGCCATTTATTTATTTATTTATTTTTAAAATTTATAAGCCGCCCCACTCCCGCAGGACTCTGGGCGGCTAACAATAAAAGCACCATATAACATGACAAAACAAACAATACAATAACAGTCATCCAGGGGTCAGATTTTATAAACCCAAGGCCTGCTGGAAAAGCCAGGTCTTAAACAGCTTACGGAAAACCAACAGGGTGGGAGCGGTCCTAATCTCCGGGGGGAGCTGGTTCCAAGACGTGGGCGCCATCACAGAGAAAGCCCTCCTCCGCGGCCCCGCCAAATGGCACTGCTTGGCCATAGGTTTGCCACCACTGATCTAGTCCAACCCCGTGCTCAGGCAGGAAATCCTATACCATTTTGGAAAAATGGCTGTCTCTTCTTAAAAACTTTCAGTGTTAAAGCATTCACAGATTCTGGAGGCAGGTTGTTCTACTGGTTAATTGTTCTGACTGTCAGGAAGTTTCTCCTAAGTTCTAGGTTGCTTCTCTCCTTGGTTAATTTCCACCCGTTGCTTCTTGTCCTGCCTTCAGGTGCTTTGACTCCCTCTTCTTTGGGGCAGCCCCTGAGATACAGAATTGAAGCATTTCTTACCGCATGTTAAAGGGAGCCATCAGCCGGACCACATATTGCCTGTCCTTTGGAAGTTTAAGCTTAGGGATCTTGGATGGATCGAAATCTGGCGGGTAGTATTTCTAGAATGCCCAAAAATAAAAATGACTTTTTTTTTGTCTTTTTGCTTTCAATTTGATTTGATTCAAAAGATCAAAATACAAACGAAAAAAAATTAAACAGTCAGAACAAAACTAGACAAAAACATCTAAAAAGTGAATTAAAAAAACAAAAGAAAAAAACCACATATTAACCCCAATTTTCAATTTAAAAAATTGAAAAAAGAGACCCCCCAAAAAAGAAATAACTGATCATTTATTTATTGAAAATTTTTAAAATTTTACAAAATAAGAACAAACAACCCTCCCCAACCCACCCCAACCCTCCCACTCCCTCCCTCAACTTTCCCAGAGCTGAATATAGGCTTAATTAAATTTTCTTGAATTCTTAAAGGAAAAAAAATATAAACCATAGATAAGTCTAAATACGTTACTTAAACTACTAATAGAATAATTAACAATACTATATATATATAAAAAAGACATAAATATTAAAGAAAAAAATACTTAAAAAAAAGAAGAATAAAAAGAAAGAAAAAAAGAAATATAAGAAAGTAAAATAATAATAAAACATATAAAGAAAAAAAATAATACAATCTATAAAATATTAAAATTTGTATATAAATTATTGATAAACTAAGTAATATTTTTTTATATCCAACTTATGTTATATAAAATCTATCCATTTTTCCCATACCACAAAAAACTTCTCTTGCGATTGATCCTTTAAAAAAGCCGAAATCTTTGCCATTTCTGCCAGATAGGATACTTTAAAAAACCACTCTTGCAAAGTAGGCAAAGATTCCTTCTTCCAGTATTGCCCTACTAACAACCTTGCGGCTGTAATTAAATTTAACATCAATATAACCTCCTTAGTATCACAATCGGTAACAATACCTAGCAAAAACAATTGTGGGGTAAATTTTACCCTCCTTTTAAAAATTCTTTGAATATTCCACCATATCTTAATCCAAAAGGCTTTTATATTTTTACACGACCACCAAATATGGTAATAAGTAGCATCCAAACAACCACATCTCCAACATTTGGGCTGTAAGTCAGGATACATACGAGACATTATTTGTGAATCAAGGTGCCATCTATAAAACATTTTATAAAAATTCTCCCTTAAGTTCTGGGCTTGTGTAAATTTAACATTTCTCACCCAGATGATTTCCCAGGTATCTAATAGAACTGGTTCACCAAAATTCTGTGCCCATTTAATCATACATTCTTTAATTAATTATGGTTCTGAGTCCAATTCTACTAGCAACCCATAAATTCTCTTAATATGAGTTTGTCTTTGATCTTTTACTTGTTTAACAAAATTTTCATCTTCTCTAAGCAAGCCCACATTACGATCTATCTTCCATCTGTCCGCTATTTGTCTGTACTGAAACCATGAATATATAATATTTTCTTGTGCTAAATCTTCCAAAGATTTTAACTGCCAAATTTTACCATCCCATCTAAATAACTGATCATTTATTGATACCAATAGCCTAGGCAGGCACAAGACCCGAGTGGATCCCAGCCGATTCTTAATGAAATAACTGATGAATCCACTATGTTCTCCCTTGCATAGTCTGGCCTCTTTACAACAGCCCTGCGAGGTAGACCGCCACCCCAAGTTTAACCCTTTCTGAGCACCTACTCCACCCTCCGAGGTCCCCAACTGGCCCCAGCCATGTTTTTCCCCTCCTTTCCTTTCACTCACGTTTAACACTTTCCTTTCCGACATTTTGCCTCTTCGCGATTCTTCCCAATCTCCGTGAAACTCACCCCAAACACCGCTACTTCCCGGATTCTCAACGCGTCCCGCCTCCTTCGCTACTATTGGCTGTCAACGTCGAAATGCAGCAGGAGGTGCATTCCTAGTGGCTTACTATGCAGTCAGTCAACATTTAAGCCCCGCCCGGCCGACGCTCCGTTTTTGCGTCTTTTAACCAGCGCCTCACGCGCCTGTTTATGTCACGTTGTTTGTCCTTCCCTCAAATATTCCGTTGGGGAAACCAAGCTGTGACATCACTAGTTCCGGAGCCGCAGGATTGGGCCTTAGATTGAATAGAAGTTATGAAGAGCGTTTAATAAAAAAAAATAATGCCTATGAAATATTCATTACTTCTACTAAATATTTAACACTTCGAAATATTGATCGCTCCTTTTTAATTAAAAAGCGAAATTGCTTAGGGATTAAAGTTTATTAGATGCTTGGTACTGTAGTGTTTACACAACGACTAAATCCTAAAATTATTTTCATGGCAACATGTTTAATAAAGTAATAATTATTATTGCTGCATGCTCAGAGCTTCCTTCCGTCCTCCCAGGATGTTGCTGAGTTTATTTATGTTTTGTCTTTAAAATGTATATATTGCCTTTGCAAACCAGTTGTCCCAAATGGCTCATGAAATCTTTTGTTGAATTATCAAACACAAACTAAAAACAGCCACTAAATGTAGACATGCAGTAGGTATTAATGATGCACAACAGAGAAATTTATATTTCATTATTGAATTTATATGCTGCTCATTTTGTTATTGTTGAAGGAAAAATCTTCATCGTGGTTCAGTCCAAGCCAGGAATAAACAACATGGCAACTGCGTTAGAAAGAAGGTTGCAGTTTATTGAAGAGGAGAGCCAGACAGAAAGATGGCTCTGGAAGAAAAAAGAGGGAGCACATGTAGGGAGTGGGTTTTTATACCTTCTTGAGCCTTTTGTTTGGAGTTGTTCCTGTGGCAGGAACTTTGACCTGAGTCTGAGTGTGCCTTTCTGGTATTCTGACAGTGGTGGGTTAATTCTATTATGTCCCAAAGATCAATCCTGCTTCTCTGGGGCTGTGGTTGATGACTCCAGTCTTTCTGACAAGATTATCACATCTGCAATTCTGCAGACTTGGTTTCTGTTTGGGACAGAGAGACTTGGGGGCGGGGTTGGTTTCTGCTTTTAAAATCCTTTCGGGCAGTGGTTCTCAATCTTTTTAATGCCGCGACCCCCAACCGGTCGTAATTTGAGGACTACTCAACTGGTGCAGCACCGTTTGCAGAATGGGACTTTTGGCGGGCTCAGCAGGGCAGAGACAGCCTGGACAATTCCTATTGGCTTTTGAAAGCCAATAGAATTAGACTCTATTCAAGAGCGTCTATTCTATTGGCTTTCAAAAGCCAATAGAATAAAAGGGAGTAGCACAGCTAAGGAAAAGGGGGGGGGAAATGGCGGACTGCGTTGTTTGGCGACCCCCGTGAAATGGTCATTCAACCCTAAATGGGGTCCCGACCCACAGGTTGAGAACCACTGGTTTAGGGAAATATATTATTTTAAATATTTCCAAAAATATTTCTTTCTCGGGGGGGGGCTGACTACCCACATTATCCAAAGCAGCTTGTTTATTAGAATAGAATAGAACTGGAAGGGACCTTGGAGGTCTTCTAGTCCAGGGCTTTTCAACCTGTGGTACGTTGGCACCTGGCAGGTGGTACGCGACCACCCTAGAAAAGTGGTAGCAGGGGAGGGGAATGAGCTGAACCGGTGGCAGCACCACACAAGCCTGAGCAAGAGACGGCTGGAGCTGCAGGGCTGTCAGGGCTCAGCGGAAGTGCCAGGATCAGTGCCAGGCTCCAGCTGGAGCTCGGCGATCATCCTGGCACTTCTGCTGAGCCCAGAAAAAGCGCCGATCAGCTGGAATGTTGCAGCATCTCCAGGGTCTTGTGATTTACATTCAGATGCTTGGCAACTGATTCATATTTATGACGGTCCCAGTGTCCCAGGGTCATGTGAAGTGACCAAAACATGGCTGCAACCACCCAGCAGACGGGGGGATAAAAACCAAACACCCCCACCCCACCCCCGCTGCCAATCTTCAACACAAATGCTCACAACAATGAAAACCTCAGACAGGAGGAAGAGTGCCGCTGGGGGGGCAGGCAGGTGTCTTGCTTGGCTGTGGCTTGGGGGCACTTTTTTCAGTGCCATTGTAACTTCAAACAGTCACTAAGCAAACTATTGTAAGTCGAGGACTACCTGTAATTTATCACTTTTTTCCCATTTTTTTGGTCATCAAGTTTTTGACACCTTGCTAGGCGACTGGTGGTACTCGGATGTTGCCATATCCTAAAAGTGGTACAATGGCTGAGAAGGTTGAAAAGCCCTGGTCTAGTCCAGCCCCCTGCTCAAGGAGGAGAACCTACACCATCTCAGACAAGTGACTGTCTAGTCTCTTCTTAAAAACCTCCAGTGATGGGAGAGCCCATGATTTCTTGAGGCAAGCTGTTCCACTGGTTAACTGTCCTCACTGTTAGGAGGTTTCTCCTTAATTTCAGAATGCTTCTCTCTTTGATCAGTTTCCAACCATTGTTTCTTGTCCTGCCTTCAGGTGCTTTGGAAAATAGTTTGATGCCTTCTCCTTTGTGGCAGCCCCTCAAATACTGAAACACTGCTATCATGTCACCCCTTTTTCTTCTTTTCTTTTAGACTAGCTAGCCAAACCCAAGTCCTGCAGCCGTTCTTCGTATGTTTTAGTCTCCAGGCCTTTGATCATCTTTGTTGCTCTTCTCTGAACTTTTTCCAAAGTCTCAACATCTTTTTTGTAGTACGGTGACCAAAACTGGTTGCAGTATTCCAGGTGTGGCCTTACTGGGTTTTATAAAGCAGTACTAATAGTATGTGTGATGTTGATTCTATGCCTCTGTTTATACAACCCAGGATTGTATTAGCTTTTTGGGTTGCTGCTGCACACTGCTGACTATTACAATTTATTAGACCACCAACTACCAAGTGTCTTTGATGATTTTTATACATTCAAGGCATGAGAGCCTCTGAGCAGCCATCTTCATCCTTAACAGAAAAGAAAAAGGCTTCCAATTGTGGTGGTGAGTTGACAATTATCTGTAATCAATCAGTTAAAATAAAAATAACTGGAAAGAGACAAATTGGAAAGGAAAAACAGCTTTGAGCAGGACAGATGCTGTGCGGGATTGAATTTTGCCACCACGGGAGGAAAAGCAGATATTCCTTGATCTGGGATGGAGAGCTAATAGATAGAGATAGATAGATAGATAGATAGATAGATAGATAGATAGATAGATAGATAGATAGATAGATAGATAGATAGATAGATAGTGTTGAGTCCTTGGCGGAAAGCAGACACGAGAAGCAGTTGAAGTTCTCAGTTTTCTTTATTCTGCGTTCAGCTTACAAGTAGATGGCTTCAGCTGCTCCCAAAACCTCCCAGCTTCTTATATAGACATTTCCCGGGTAAATGCGATACTTTTCCCGCGCCAGCACCCGCGCATGCGCACAGCGCTGGCGACAGCCTGTCTGGTCCCGGGCAGCTTTGCACCTGCCCGGGACTGCCTGCAAACACCCGAGCCGTTTGCACGGCTCGGGACATAACAGATAGATAGATAGATAGATAGATAGATAGATAGATAGATAGATAGATAGATAGATAGATAGATAGATAGATAGCTGAGAGAGGGGGGGGGGGGGAGGATGCCGCTTCCAGAAGTCCATTCTGGGCCTGGGCAACAAAAAATTAGCTACCAGTTCTGCTGAAGTAGTGCAAATCGTTTGAATCCCACCACTGGATGGAGGGCCCCGAGTCCTCACTCCGGCTCCCAGGACGCCCCAGAGGCTGGAAGACTCCAGGCGCTGTATTCTCCGTTATCCAGGAAGTCTTTCGCGGCTACTTGGATGTGGTAGTTTACACCAGAACGGATCCCAGTGAGGGTAAAGGAGGTCTTCTCGATAGGCCTGGTCTGGGGAAGCAAAGAAAAATACAGGTTAGAATAGAATAGAATAGAATAGAATAGAATAGAATAGAATAGAATAGAATAGAATAGAATAGAATAGAATAGAATAGAATAGAATAGAATAGAATATAGATGGGATGGGATAGAATAGAATAGAATAGAATAGAATAGAATAGAATAGAATAGAATAGAATAGAATAGAATAGAATAGAATAGAATAGAATAGAATAGAATATAGATGGGATGGGATGGGATAGAATAGAATAGAATAGAATAGAATAGAATAGAATAGAATAGAATAGAATAGAATAGAGCTGGAAGGGACCTTGGAGGTCTTCTAGTCCAGCCCCCTGCTCGAGCAAGAGAACCTATATCATCTCAGACAAGTGACTGTCTAGTCTCTTCTTAAAAATCTCCAGTGATGGAGCACCCACGATTTCTGGTGGCAAGCTGTTCCACTGGTTAATTGTCCTCACTGTCAGGAAGTTTCTCCTCAGTTCCAGGTTGCTTCTCTCTTTGGTCAGTTTCTAACCATTGTTTCTCGTCCTGCCCTCTGGTGCTTTGGTGAACAATCTGGCCCCCCTCTGCCTTGTGGCAGCCCCTCAAATACTGGAACACTGCTATCAAGTGTCCCCGTTACTTCTTTTCTTTAGACTGGCCAAACCCAAGTCCTGCAGCCGTTCTTCGTATGTTTTAGTCTCCAGGCTTGGATCATCTTAGTTGCTCTTCTCTGTGAATCCCCTTTGAATATAAAAACTGCTATAAAACCGTAATCGGGGCCTCGGTAGCTTTCAAAGCTGAGGTCACTTTTATCTCTTGGTACCAAAATAAAAGTTTTTTCATATCTTGGGTTTGGTGATCAGTTGGCTTCAACACCAAGCTCTTGTGGAAAAATAAAGCCTTAAAAAAAATAAAGGGCTTTTACGAAATTCCATGGGTGAAAGAGAGATCTTTATTTTTGCGCAAAAAGGTTCAGAAGTGATTTAACAATCAGCAAATTTCTGAACAAGGGGGGAGGGTCTAAACTAAAGCTTTATAGGTTTCTTTCTCTCAGGAACAAAGGAAGCATAGATGGAATCTTACATTGTATATGG